TCTAAGGTTCATTTGGATCTTCGATGTTAAAAATTTTGTTTTGATAAATAATAAATTTTGAGTTGGGGATATTGTGATTAAAATTTGATCGAAAAATGTCAAGATATTCTGATGAAAAATGAAGTTATATGAAAACTTTAATTTCTTATAAAAAATTGTATTTCATTTTTAAAAATGAATATTAGTGATGTTTTTAATATGATTTTAAATTTTGAATGACATGTAAATAATAATAATTTTATGATATATATGAAAACTTTCTAAATTCAATAATTTTAAAATTCATTCATAAAATTTGTTTAATCCATTATTTGGATGGATATAATTTGACTATTATTTTTAGTACAAAAATTACTTAAATTAAAAATTAGTACAAAAATTATAGAAGGAAGCATTGGGTCAACTTTCTAAAGATATTCTCTAGTACAAAAATTACTTGAATTAAAAAATGTTGTAGTTATTTTTGAAAGTAGTAAGAAAATTGTCCCAAACAAAACTATATGATTTGTTTGTGATAACTTTCTCTTTGTTTTGATTTTCAGTTAGCAATTATAATTTTTTTTTACTATTATTTTCTTACTGCTTTCTCACCGCTTTTCAAAATTTTTATGTTGGAAATCAACTTTTTGAAACCACAGTAACTAAGTTATTTTTCTCGTAATAACTTTACTATTAATTTTATAAAATGTTACAACAATTCCAAATAAGCCGTAAGGGCCGCTTTAGAACAACTGTAGTGTTTTAAAAAGTTGATTATAAAGTTATTTTATGAAAAATAACTTAACAACTCGAGTTGCAAAAAAAAAAAATTTCCACCACAAAAATATCTCAAAGTCAATGATAAAACAGTTGACAAATAAAATTATAATTATTGTTAGAAAAATAAAGTCTTCATAAATCTCTTAAAGTATGATAGATATAAGAAAATTATTATTCAATTAAAAAAAACTATATTTTTATAATAATCATAATAGCCTTTAAAATTTATTTTCCCCATCAAAATTCTACAATCACTTTTGCAAAAATTTGTAACTACCCCTAAGGCCAAAACAGGTCTCGAGTCCCAAAGCAACCCTACCAAGATAAAAATGAGAAAAAGAAATCAGAAAGGACCATTAAATCATAATTATATATACAAATTTTCAAAAATCAAAAGACTATGTGAACGATAACCTTAAATCCTAAAGATGCTTGGGGGACCAAGAAGAAAAGGGCAGTGAAGGTAAGAGGTGGAGGGAAGCAAGAAGATTTTGTTGCCTGCAGATCTGAGATCTGCTTTGCATGATTGTTGCAGGGAAGCATATGGAGTACTGTGCATGCATCAGAATGTTAATCATGTCGATGGTGAGTATCAGCCTTATTAATGACGACAGACGTATACATTTTAGTGATGATAGATGTCAACCTTGATAGCAATGGCGAACATTTTCATTGCTCTCGACAATGGTGGATGTCGAAATTGTTGTTGACAATAGACATTGGCATTATTCGCAATAGAGAGCTTTAGTGGTGTTAGTCGCACCGATGATATCGGATGTTAGCTATGCTGGTACTAGTGAGAGTTGAGATAGTTGATGATGGACGGTGACAGCTTTGGTGGTGATAATTAAAGTAAACCTTCGTGTCAATAACGAACCTTATTGATGACATCGAGTGTGGGTGTCAATGTAATGTTGGCAGATATATCAGGGATCCAAGAGTGCAGCACCCCCTAGTGGGGTTCGACCTACCCAATCAGGTCGCGGGGTCAAGGGGCAGCGCCACTGAAGGGGGTTTCCAGGGGCAGCGCCCTCGGAATAAATTTTGATTTACTATTTCTCTTTATATATGGTTCATCATTCCCTGACAATAACACATCTGCATAATGTGTATAATCATACATGGGGCAGTTGCCTAAATATCATAATATTTTAAAACTTTTAGGGGGGAGGGGGGAAGTTGCCTTAAAACCCTTTTAATAAAGATTAAAACATAGAATTAGGGACAAATTTTTAAAAGAATCATATAATAAATATTAAAAAGAAAAATTTTAAGGGGGTTCCCCCTAGATACAATGGAGTTCCGCCCCTGGACAATGGTATTGATGATCTTTTGAGGCCGAATTTTTTTTTTAAAAAGCATGTGACATTAAGGCTTTGTTTGGGATGACTTTTTTTACTGCTTTCACAAGCAGCTTTTCAGCACAAAAATTTAATGAAAGTAGTGAAAAAATAATGGCAAAAACTGTCCCAAAGTAAGACTAAATTATCAATGCAACTTACTTATATAATAATGCATTAATTTTTCAAAAAATTACAACACGAGTTTTGTTCAAAAAAGTGTTCTATAATGGTGAATTTATGTGTTGACCCCTCTCGGAAATTCCTCGGCAAAATAGTAAGTACCTAATTTTCTTTTGTTCTTTATTTATTTATATAGTTTTTTTTTTAATTGTAGCCGTCGATCTCCACTGAATTTCCAGCTATGGTACTCTGTATTCTGAATTGAACGGTCTACGTTGGCCCTATTTGCCAGCAATGTACAGCCTCAATTTTCATTTAATACTTTTCATCATTCAAAATATATTTTCTAGCTAAAAATGATAAGATACCTACAAAAAATAATATTTAAGTGAATATTAATTTAAACCCAAACCTACAAAAAAAAATCAAAATATATCAATTATCCATTAGCACGGCCATGAAGATTAGACTCATACATTTATATTGATATCAAAATAGCATAAATTAAAGCATAGTCGAGTTTAAAGGAGTCAAACTCATGCGTGTAAGAGTAATTTGGCCAACCCTAACATCTGTTAAAAGTTATCACTTGTGAGCCAGCTATAAGGGTGAGAATGATCTTATTAGTTGTCGCTCTACTAACTGTTAGAGTGGCCCGTTTTATAATGTGGTTCCCGTTGAAAAGTGTGACGATGACCTCAGTTTTGATAAGCGAACCTTTTTTTATTGAGATATAAGCCTAAAAAATGTGTGAGACTTATAGTATTCATTGTGCCTTTCGTAGGCAACAATTCCACAAATAATTTAGGGCAAAATCTTGTGAAGGTAAGAGGTGGTTAGAGCAAGTTGGTTTATTTTGTCATAAATTTTGTAAGAGTATAAGATCATTGTGATCAATTGATGATAATTATAAAAAAAAATTGTATAATGATGATAAATTTCAAGTTTAAGACTCGTGGAACTTAGATTAATTCTGTGAGTAACAATGATCTATGTCAGGGCTTGCTTACAATAAGATTCATGCACATTAACGAAGATAGAACGAAAGCCTAATTTCATGACCGTAAGTTTGAAATCATGCTTTGAAAATCAATGAAGGCCAGTAAATTCATCAATCAGTTTGAAGCAATCACACATTAAGGGCTCATTTGGTTGCTTAGAGTTAGAAGTCAAGCCTAAAAAAATCCTTTCCTCCTCTTGTTCTTCTACCTCTGCATCTGACACGACGAAGCCGATCACGATCATCGCCACCGCATCCCGCCCCCATGGTAAGCGACGATAGCGGTTGCCTATGAAGTATGGATTGCGGAGCCAGGGCCCGTTGAGGAGCGGCGAAGGCGGCTTCTTCAAATGATGGGGCTTACACTTACAGGCGATAAGGCACTCCCATTCTAAAAATGAGAATTTCAACTCCGCACTTAAAAAGTTAGTGAAATAAAATATTATCTTTTAAAATATATTATACATCTTGAAGCAACCAAATAAGCCCTAAAATTCACTTCAAAGCCCATAGATCTTTGTAAAATTCTCTTAAAATAGTGAATTTCAATTTCAAACAAAATGAATGAAAGCATATTTTTGGCCTACCAACATGAAATATCCTTAAAAAGTCTCTTCATGTTCTGAACTTATCATAAGTAATGTGGCTGGTTCCTATATAATTTCTTCCATCCAAGTAAAGTCAATTATTTTGTTATTTATTTATTTATTTTGTGATGGATTTATATACTATAAAAAGTCTATCACAAAAATTTTAATTATGATGGTCCTTCAAACCAACTCGACATACTTTAAGATTAGTGCAAAATATAAGTAATTAATATTACATAAATCTCAAAACATATCTAAGGAATTTGAGCCAATATTAACTGCATTTTGGTCATGATTTTTTGACATATATAATTTTTTATTTATACACAGATCACTTGATACGGCATCAGAAAATCATCTTCATAGGGCATGAATCTCGAGACAAAATCAAAGCCGGAAACTTCAAAAATTAAATCCGGGATCACCTAAACTTCGATTTCAGCTAACTTACAGCCAAACTGAGCGTCTCAAAAATACGAACCCAATGACACCAAATTTGACTCAATCCGAGCCCAAATGAGTCCAAAATAAGGACTCGAAGTGTTGTTGGAAGATTCGTACCACTATTTGAGTTACCAAACGGTTTCCAAATATGACAAGCTTATAGTCAAATCGAGCGACTCGATGAGACGAATCCAACGAGCCCAAGATCACTGAATTCCGAAATCATTAAGGCCTCCAAATGTCTGACGAACGGTCCATGATCAAGGGATTCAATATCGGCCATCCATCCAACCACTCTACATTTACCCTTGATCTCTCACATATTTACAAGTCATGTCACTCCATAAAATCTATAAATAGACCCCTCATTTCTCTTGAAAGGGGAACCAAGTAAGAAGAGAAGGAGAGAAGAAGAGAAGAGAAGAAAGAGGCTCCTCCTCGACCACCGCCGGAGTTTCGCTGGACCCCTGTTGGAGTTTTGCCGGACCACCTCCTGAATTTCGCCGGACCACCGCCGAAACTTTGCCGGACCACCTAAGGCCCTCGCCTTCGCCGGACCACCCCCTGAGGCCCTCGCCGTCGTCGGACCACCACCTAAGGCTTGGAGTTCTGCCATACCATTATCTGAATCCCGAAGTTCTGCCGTTCCATCACCTGACACCTGGACTTCTGTTGTACAATTATTACTTGTAATCTAATCGCCCTTGGAGGCGAGTTAGACAATTGTAACCAAAATGACGTGAAGTGAAGGAGTACTATTTTGCAGCTCCAGCATCGACTTCATTCCCACTTCGATATCCCTCGCCACTTTCCTCTGTCCCCTACGCGCTCCCGATCCTCGCTACTTATCGGATCACCATGATGGCCCCGCCGATACAGCTACATTGAACAGTCACCGGGATTCTGATGCCGCCATGAAGATGAGGAGCTCTGTCGTGGACGAGGTCGAGTTCTACGAGTCGCTTGATCGAATCCTTTCCTCCTCTTGTTCTTCTACCTCTGCATCTGACGACGAAGCCGATCACCGTCATCGCCACCGCTTCCCGCCCCCATCGCCGGCGGCGGTGGCGGCTGCCTATGAGGTATGGATCGCGGAGCCGGGGCCCGTTGAGGAGCGGCGAAGGCGGCTTCTTCAAATGATGGGGCTTACAGGCGATAAGGCACTCTCACGCGGGAAACCCCCAATTGCGATCGTGAATTCCGCTGAAATTCCCTTGTCGGTTTCATACAAAGAAGTCTATCGGCGAATGGACCAGTTTTCTTCTTCTATCCTATTTTCTCGATCTAGATCCGATGGCGACGTCGATTCCTCCGCTGGGAATCGGCAGCTTCTCGTGCCGCCGCGATCTCCCGTTGTGCTAGATGTTGGTGATGACCCGCGGTGCACCATTAGGAATCTGGACACGGGGAGGGAGTTTGTGGTGAAGGAGTTTAGGGATGATGGAATGTGGAAAAATCTAAGGGAGATAGGTACGGGTCAGCAGCTGACCATGGAGGAGTTCGAGATGTGCATGGGGAGATCACCGATTGTTCAGGAGCTCATGCGCCGGCAGAGTGTACATTATTGCGGCGCTAGTGCTGGTGGCCAGATCTCTGGAGATGGCATGGAGATTAGGTTGAAGAAGAGGAGGAGCTGGCTTAAGAGCATCACGAATATGGCCGGGATTGCCGTGCACCAATTTGATAAGCGGAGCAGCGATGAGAGGGACTCTTCGTCGGAGAGAGGGAGGAGATCGAGTTCAGCCACTGACGATAGCCAGGATGGATCCGATCATCTTTTCCATGGCGCTGAGCGAATCAGAGCTCGGCGGTGTGGGAAGTCGTACAAGGAGCTTAGTGGGCTTTACTTGACTCAGGATATTCAAGCGCATACTGGATCGATATGGAGCATTAGGTTCAGTTTGGATGGGCGTTATCTTGCCAGTGCAGGAGAGGACTGTGTAATCCATGTTTGGCAGGCATTAGAGCGTAAGCGCAAAGGATGTCTGGAAATGGAAGGAGCAACAGGGGAGAATGGGAACGGTAATGGATATATAACGGCATTCAGTAATGGGACTCCTGAAGTTGCATTTGCTTTAGCTTGCATGGAAGCCAACCATTGGGAGAAAAAGAGACCTAAGATATCTAGTGGCAGGAAGTCTTTTAGTTTGGATAACATTATTGTACCAGAACTCTTTTTTGCTCTTGAGGAGAAACCTCTCCGCTCTTTTAAGGGTCATCTTGATGACGTTCTGGATCTATGTTGGTCTAAATCTCAGGTTTTTCTATTCATCTGCTCTTACGCTGAATTCTTTTTCTAAAACTTGTTAAAGGATGGTTATATTATAGCACTCTTGCTCTTATAGATGATAATGCAGGTTAACGTATTGCTGTTTTTAAAATTTTCCTTGGCCAAAATTTAAATATATATAGTCAAGTATTGTGTGGAAAATTTAACGAATATGATAGTTAAACTTTCGAGGGCTACTCTTTACACTTGGGTAGAAATTTTTTTTTTTTCTTTTATTGATTTGAGTTCTAAATGTAGTTTGCTATTCTTGCTTTACTATTGATTGAGACCTCTTGTTTCACTGAAAATTCATTGCATCAATTGGTGGTTGGTTACTTGGTTATATGTATAAACACCAAGTTCAGTATTGATAGCAACTGCATAGAAATATAAAGACTCTAATAGACCGGCTAAGCTGATGGGCCCCACTAGCTGGGTGGCAGGCAAGAAGATCAAAGAGGACTAATTACTTATCATAGAAGACCAAGATTGGGAAGGAATTAAGAATACTTAATTAGGGAAGGATGGCCGATTTGGTTGAGAGGAAATTATGAATGTTTGTTTAGGGAAATAGAGATGATTTGATTGAGAGGTAATTATGAATGTTCTAAATATGGTTATTGTGTGTTAGAAAGGATTTAATCAGGGATGTTTTAATTATGAAGGCTTTCTTAATCATGCTTATGTTATTTAGGAAGATCCTAATTATTTAGGATGGTTTCCTAAAATATGTTTATGTTGATTAGGAATGTTCTATTTGTATTATGATGTTCTAGGGTTATTTAAGAGGAAGTTTGTCTGTGGTTTAGGGTGTGCTATTGTTGAGTTTTGTGTTTTGTTGTAGCTCTTTTGTTTGAGGGCTTTCTAGCGGCGTCTAAGTTGATTGGGAGAGATGATATGCTTATCTAATGGTAGATCTCTTGTATCTTGTCTTTTCCTTTATGTATAATCCAATAAAAAGTGTTTTTGAGTGTTCTTCTTCATCGTTTACTCGTTACCAATCTCTGTTTTGCTAGAATTGAATATTCAACCAAGGTCTTCTTCAAGTTTTGCATCTACTTTGTATCAAATTGGTATCAGAGCGGTGTCCCGGGCTGAAATTTTAGTCCTCATCGCTGATTTATGCTATATATTTCTTCCTGTCTTGCTGATTTTCACTGTTTAACAACCGATTCACTGATGTTTTGTTGTTTTTCACGGTTTGGAACCTAGATCCGTGAATGATATCAAAAAAGATGGATGTATTGAAAGGAGAGAGAACAATTCTAGGCCAACATGGAGAAAAAAAATATTTGGATGTGGAAGGAAGGCTCTCATCCATTGAGAACCGCTTTGAGAAATTTGAGGATATTCTGAAAAAGATGATCAAGATGCAGTCGAAGGCTTCGCCGACGATTCCTCGGTTGAACCTAGGGAAAGAAAATTCTGGAGGAGATGATGAGAAAACTCGTGGAGATGCGATCCAAAACCTCACCGATGGTTCCAATTGCTAACCCTAATCAAGTATTGATCGGGATTCTTTTGGTTGTATCTAAAGGGAAAGGGATCAGGCGGAAAGAGTTCGATTAAGAGAGCTCCTTTCATCAAGAGACACCTCCTAGGGCTTCGATCAGAGCTCCTTTATGAAATTGCCCTCCAACACTGTCTCAGAAAGTCTCCCCAATTGGCTAGAAAGGTACTCAAATCTCTCTCGATAATCCATCATTGTCCCTTCCTGAACCAAAGTAAAGAACTGCTCATAGAAGTCTCTTCCCTGACTGGTTTGGAAATGTTCTAATAAACTATCTTTGAACTCCCTCCACAATCGAATTGGTTCTCTTATGTTTCTCCACTAATACCAAGACAAGGCCTTCCCTTCCAACATAATCTGCTGCCTTGAATCTCTCCTTCTCTGTCAACCTATTCACTACAAAGTATTTTTCCACCTCATTGATCCACCACCACCCATGAGCATCTTCCCCCTAAAAAACCGGCATCTTTAGCTTTCTCACTCTTGGATCCCCTTTGCCCCAACTTCCTCTTTTAGCTCTGGCTCCTCCGATTTAGTGATTGTTATGATCTCTTCATTGTTCTCTCTCAACCCTCTTTTGTTCATAGATATCATCTTCCTCAAAATTAGCCATCCGTATTCCACCTCATAGATCCACCCTTGAGCATCTTCCCCCTAAAAAACAAGCATCTTCAGCTTTCTCACTCTTGGATTCCCTCCGCCCCAACTTTCTCTTCCACCTACGACTCCTCTCATGTAGCGATTGTTATGATCTCTTCATTGTTCTCTCTCGACCCTCTTCATTTCATAGATAATATCTTCCTCAAAATCAGTCCACTGTATTTATTTCTCCAAATTTCTCCTCATGTTATATCCTTTCACCCATTTCCCTCCTGGTTATCGATTCAAGAGGTGGCATATTTCCCCTGTCGCTCAAGATTACTACCTGTCGATCATCCCTCATTGTGTCGATATTAGGGTTTACCCCACTTCCTTGGCTACCCGCCGGTGCCTTGCCTCTGATTTTGCCGGTTGGATGCGAAGCTCCAATATTTCTTTCATCATGTCCTCTAGGTTAGAAAATCTTCCTTTCATGAATGAACATTTCCTCAACTTTAGATTTAAATTGACCAACTTCTCCTTCTAGTTTCCCTTCCAAAGCACTCACTTTCTTCGGTGTCATAGGTCCCGAGTCTTGCTCTGATACCAATTTGATAGGACTTGAAGATCAAAACAACACACGACAATATAAAAAAAACAGCAACTTATTCCAAATAGATCCAGAAATAACACCAAGAGAATTGTTTTTACTAATTTCCAAGCAAAGTAAGATAAGGTATAAGTTGATTCATTGTTCGAGAGGAGAATCGGCTCTCTCACAATTCCTAGCATCTGCTAGAAACCACAAACACCTCACAAAAACTCCTATAGAAATTTAAAATATAATAAAACATAACCCTCCATATTCTCCCCTTTAACCACCATAAATCCTCTAATAAATGCCACTTATGTTTTTCCCAAAGAGTTCCCCCTTTCCCAAGGCGTTTTCTCCCAAAGCCTCTTCTCCTATAGGTGATAAAGGAGGCCCTAGGCTCCACTCGGACAGCTGGGCTGCTGTCTGCCTGGGCAACTTTGCTGTTGCGAGCTGCATCAAAGGGATATGATCTTACGATGCTAAGTGCCCAATCGAGAGAGATGGTAATCTTTCTTTGCTCATTCCTGACTAGATTCATTGGAGTGAATCTTGTGGAAAAGCAAGATCCGTCGCCGGAGAGGAAGAAGAAGAATGAACAATGAAAATGAAGATTTGTTTTATTATCTTGTTTTGTCCTTAGTACATAATGACATATATATAATATATTTTGTAACAACTCTTTACACGTGCCGGCTCTCATAGGTTGATTTGTAATACCGGAGCTTTCTTGTGTTTTGAGCTCTGATAGCCCCCCGCAAACAAACGGGTCTGGAGAGATCGTTAGTTTGCTTCGTAAGAGCTTGTAACGTGCGGTGGAAAGTGGCTTGGTGAGTAGATCTGCGAGTTGATCCACCGTTTTGATCGGAAGAAGACGGATATGGTTGTTGATAATGTTCTCGCGAAGGAACCGATGATCGATCTCTATATGCTTTGTCCTCGCGTGGAAAATTGGGTTGTTGGCGGAGAGCGATGGCGGAAGTATTGTCGCAGTAGAGATCGACTGGCTGGTCATGCGGAATCTGAAAATCAGTGAGCAGTCCCTTGAGCCAGATGATGTCGGCCATTGGCGGCTGCGAGTGCCCTGTATTCGGACTCGGTGGAAGAGCGAGATACAGTAGACTGCTTCTTAACGGCCCATGAAATCAGAGTATTGCCGAGAAATGAGCAATACCCTGTTGTGGATTTGCGAGTGACTGGATCGCTGGCCCAGTCGGCGTCGGAGTAGGAGCGCAGATGCAAATCTGATTTGGTGATGGGCAGTCCGAAGTGAGCTGTGCCTTTGACGTAGCGAATGAGTCGTTTGAGCATGAAGAAGTGAGGAATCTGCGTATCGTGCATATGCTGAGACAGGCTGTTGACGGCATATGCGATGTCCGGACGAGTGATAGTGAGATATTGGAGAGCTCCTGTTAGTTGCCTGTATAATGATGGATCGGACCAGGTGGAGTCAAGCTGTATGTCCGTTGGTAATTTGGTGGCTGAGGGATTAGCAACAGGTTTACACCTGAGAAGAGTAGATTGTTGAACAATGGAATTAGCATATAATTGTTGAGATAAGAAATACGTATCTGTATCGTGTTGAATTTTTATTCCGAGAAAGTGGTTGGCATTGCCGAGATTTTTGAGAGAGAAGGTTGAATGAAGCTTGCGGAGGATTTCTGAGAGAAATGCTTCGTCATTGCCAGTGACTAAGATGTCGTCGACGTAGACCAGTAAGAAGATGACGATGCTTCCATTATGAAGTGTGAGCAATGATGGATCGGATTTGCTGTGATGAAATCCGAGCTTGGTAAGGTAGTTGGTGAATGTGGTATACCACTCCCTCGGAGCTTGGCGGAGACCGTAGATTGCTTTCCTTAGAAGACAAACGTGATGAGGGTGAAGTGAATCTTCGAACCCCTTGGGTTGCCGCATATAGACGGTATCGTCGAGTGAGCCGTGGAGAAACGCGTTCTCGATATCTAGTTGATGGATTTTCCATCCATGATGGAGTGCTACGGTGAAGAGGACGCGTATGGTTGGTAATTTGGCTACCGGACTGAATGTCTCGACGTAGTCGTAGCCAAGTTCTTCTTGGTTACCGAGTGAAACCAAGCGTGCTTTGAATCGGGCTACCGAGCCGTCCGAATGAAATTTGCGTCGGAATGTCCATTTGCAGCCGAGAATAGGAGAGTTTGGTGGAGGTGGAACCAATGTCCATGTACCTTGTTTCTGTAACGCGAAGAACTCAGCCGCCATGGCTTGCCGCCATTCAAACGATTTGTTGGCCTCATTGTAGCTTGATGGGTCAGAGGAAGTAGACTCCTGATGGAGGAGATTAAGTCGGTAGACTGGTCTTAGATGTCCGGTTTGAGACCTGGTGGTCATGGGATGCCTTGCCAGGGTATTTGGTGGAGATGCAGACGTGGAAACAGACATTGGTGGCTGGTCTGGTAGCACCGTGGTCGGATGGATATTTTTAGTTGATGTGGAGGATTTCTTGATGTTGGATGCGATGGTGTTATTTGGTTTGGCTGTGGCTGGTAGTGGTAGAAGCAGAGGAATAGGCAATGCCGAGGATTTATGTGGCGTGAGCGGGTGCTGGGTCTTGAATGGAAAGGATGTTTCAACGAACTTCACTTTTCTAGAAATAAGGATAGAATTGGTGCGGTTGTTCCAGCACCGGTATCCTTTATGGTTATCGGCGTAACCAAGAAATGTGCAAGCTTCTGACTTGGGCTGCAGTTTATTGTAGGAGTGGCTGGGCAATAGCGGGAAGCATTCGCAGCGAAAGGTGCGAAGTTGCACGTAATCAGGTTTGATTTGAAACATAAGTTGTATAGGAGCAGTGTGACCGGTGGTAGGTGTGGGCATACGGTTAATTAGGTAGACGGCGGTAACCACTGCATCCGGCCAAAAAGTGATAGGCATGGAGGCCGTGTGAAGCATTGTCCTAGCGGTTTCAATAATATGACGGTGCTTGCGTTCTGCAAGACCGTTTTGTTCGGAGGTATAGGGACATGAGAGCTAATGCTGAATGCCTCTTTGTTTAAGAAAACCGTCAAACTCGTGATTAACGAACTCTCGGCCTCCATCGGTACGAATGATTTGTATGTTCCTGTTAGTTTGTCTTTCAATAAAAATCACAAAGTTAATGAAAATTTTAGAAACTTTAGATTTCATTGTACACGGAAAAATCCAGCTGAAACGAGAAAAATCGTCGACTATGAGAAGGTAATATCGAAGCCCCTGATTTGAAGGAGCCGGGGAAGGACCCCAAACATCTGAGTGAAGTAAAGCAAGAAGAGTATTAGTCTTTTTAACAGAAATCAAAAAAACGAGCTTGTGACTTTTACAAGAATTACAAGAACTACAATTTAAGGGTTGAGATCTAATGTGAAGCTGCTGGTTATCATGCGAAATTTTGGTGAGAATGCTGCGGTGAGGGTGACCCAATCTTTCGTGCTAGTTTGGAGTTGATGTGCGTATGGCCGAGAACGTTTGTTGAGCTGATTCTTGATTCTTGATGGAGATCGGATAGAGGCCCGCCTTACACGGTCCTTGAAGAAGGATTTTGTGTGTCTGCAGATCCTTACAAGTGAAACCATTCGGATCAAACGTAATGGACAGATTGTTGTCCTTTACGAGTTTGGATATGGAGATTAAATTATAGGAAATAGCAGGTATATGTAAAAGATTTGATAGAGATAACATACGGTCTGGGGTTGGAAGGAGCCCGGTACCAGAGTGTGCGATTGGGATAGTTCTGCCGTCGCCGACAGTAATTTGATCCGAACCTTGATAGGGTGAGGCATGACTGATGTTGTCTGAGTCGTAGGTCATGTGTGATGAAGCGCCCGAGTCCAGATATCAGTCGGTGGATGTCGTATCGGAGGAGGAGGCGAGAAGCGCCTGACCGGTATTGGTTTGTGGGGTGGGTGTGATGTAGTTGGCATTGTGTCTATGCCAACATACCTCCGCCGAGTGGCCACGCTTGGTGCAAATTTGGCACGTCACAGAGGATTTGGACGTGGTTATTGATTGTTGATTGGCGGGTTGTTGCGATCGACCGCGTCCACGGCGTCCTCTGCCGCGATTGGTGTAGAGAGCGGTGTTGTTGTCTGGTTGAACTGAGAGACGTTGAGTGTCTGCCCGTAAATGAAGTTCTTCCGTGATGAGCATTGCATAGAAATTGTCGAGAGTCAGAGGTGATTGCAGATGCCGGACGGACGTTTTGAACGACTGGTAAGCTGGAGGCAGTCCGTTCAAGATGTAGATAATAATATCTTCGGTGTCCAGGTTAGAGCCAGCGGAAGTGATCTGATCAATGATTTTCTACCATTTGGATCAAACGTAATGGACAGATTGTTGTCCTTTACGAGTTTGGATATGGAGATTAAATTATAGGAAATAGCAGGTATATGTAAAAGATTTGATAGAGATAACATACGGTCTGGGGTTGGAAGGAGCCCGGTACCAGAGTGTGCGATTGGGATAGTTCTGCCGTCGCCGACAGTAATTTGATCCGAACCTTGATAGGGTGAGGCATGACTGATGTTGTCTGAGCCGTAGGTCATGTGTGATGAAGCGCCCGAGTCCAGATATCAGTCGGTGGATGTCGTATCGGAGGAGGAGGCGAGAAGCGCCTGACCGGTATTGGTTTGTGGGGTGGGTGTGATGTAGTTGGCATTGTGTCTATGCCAACATACCTCCGCCGAGTGGCCACGCTTGGTGCAAATTTGGCACGTCACAGAGGATTTGGACGTGGTTATTGATTGTTGATTGGCGGGTTGTTGCGATCGACCGCGTCCACGGCGTCCTCTGCCGCGATTGGTGTAGAGAGCGGTGTTGTTGTCTGGTTGAACTGAGAGACGTTGAGTGTCTGCCCGTAAATGAAGTTCTTCCGTGATGAGCATTGCATAGAAATTGTCGAGAGTCAGAGGTGATTGCAGATGCCGGACGGACGTTTTGAACGACTGGTAAGCTGGAGGCAGTCCGTTCAAGATGTAGATAATAATATCTTCGGTGTCCAGGTTAGAGCCAGCGGAAGTGATCTGATCAATGATTTTCTTGATGTCCGTCAAGTACTCCTGCATCGACAGATTTATCATAGATATGTTGTGTAACTCGCTCTTAAGTTGTATTACCTTGGAGCGATTTGAAGATTGGAACCGAGTTTGTAATGCTGCCCAAATTTCATAGGTAGATTCAAGGTGCATTACAAACGGAATAACAGGGGCAGAGATCGTTGAACAGATGGCTGCAGCTAGATTTTGATTTGTGATAAGCCATTTAGAGGAGTGGAGATCAAGATCAGATGAATCTTGATCAACTGAAAGAGATTTTGAGGTGGTGGGCGGATCAAGAAACTGTGAGAAGCCATTGGCTTTGAACAATTTTAAGATTTGATTCCGCCATACCGGATAGTTATCCGGAGTGAGATGATGAGGAACCAGTGATTTCAGGTTAGAGAGAATGAATTTGGGTAGAGAAAGTTCTTATCATTGGGTTCTTCGATTGTGGTAGCGAGATGGGATGAAGCTGTGGGAGACGCTTCAGTCGCCATGGACGGTCCGTGCGATCGACCGTGCTCTGATACCATGTGGAAAAGGAAGATCCGTCGCCGGAGAGGAAGAAGAAGAATGAACAATGAAAATGAAGATTTGTTTTATTATCTTGTTTTGTCCTTAGTACATAATGACATATATATAATATATTTTGTAACAGCTCTTTACACGTTGCCGGCTCTCATAGGTTGATTTGTAATACCGGAGCTTTCTTGTGTTTTGAGCTCTGATAAATCTCATATGAAAAGAGAGAGGATATGATCAATTATTCAAGAGATCTTGTAACATGATAGAGGTTCAGAGGATTCATGATTATGTAGTGGAGAAGGTTAGCGTGGGCCAAAAGGATCAAAGCTGTTGAATGGATTCTGCTTAGCTGAGAAGGTTGATGTAGGTCAAAAGGATCAAGATTTTTTAGTAAAGCTCTACTAAGCCAAGTTATATCTTCAATTGAGAGTTTGTTTGTAAATCGTTTGTGTGCTACCCTTTCAATGCCTACAAATGTAACGCCGCCTTCTCCATAACAATCTTTGTTTCTTGATAGCTGATTATTTATTTTATGTGAGACTTTTGATTTCCTCTTCTCGCAACTGACTCCCTGACGATAAAGTGGAACACCATAAAGGGGAACATCTGGGGGATAAGAAATGGATTTGAGAGAGAAAACTTGAGAAAGTTCTGAGCTGAGGAGAACTAGAGAGAGTAGAGCAGGACCAAGGAATTCAAGAAGAGAGCATTCCTCTTCCACCCGTGCTCAGATTCTTCTGGAATAAAATAAGAAATCCAAGATTACCAATTTTTCTTTCCAATACCCCCAATTGCCCATCATTCACGTCTTTCTAATCACTTTCTACTGGAACCCACGTGATCTCTGATCACTAATCTGTAATACCAAAATTTATAACAGCATTTTGAACCTGTTCTTATTGTAGAACATAGGATTATTCTTATTTATTTTAAATCATCTATTCTTATTATGATTATCATGACTATTACAACAGATCAATCTACTGGGTTCATTAACAAATTTAGGTCTATCTTAATCTATTATGTACCAAAAATTTGAATAATGAAACTCTTCTGTTTTCTTTGTTGAGATTTGTTTTCCGCATAAAAGCAGCCATTATGGTTAAAGAGCATCTGATAGCATGTTTTAGTGGGAATAGCAACGACGAGCTAGTCTATGTTCATAAAATGCTGACTTGCTCCCTTCTGTCTGACTGAATTTCTATCTCATCAAATTAACCCTGATCTCGATAGCTGAAGATTTTTATTATGCCGATTATTGTTTGCTTCTCGTTTAATCTGTTATATTTTGTGCTTATGGAAAAAAATTAGAGTACATATCTCATATTGAATATTAACCTTTTCTAGGTTACAATTAACGCTAATTGTTTGAATGGCAGTATCTACTTTCATCTTCAATGGACAAGACCGTTAGGTTGTGGCATATGTCTAGCATTACCTGCCTGAAAATCTTTTCACACAGCGACTATGGTAAGCATTACCCGCATAGCTTAGGTTTTGTTTGGGAAGGCTTTTTTGCTGCTTCTTAAATTAATTTTTTAGTTAAAATTTTTTAAACTTTTGTATCAAAAAGTTGCTTTAAGAAGTAGGAGGAAAACCATCCCAAGCAAAACCTTAGTTTTGATATTTTGCTTTAGCTAACGCCAATTTAATACATTTTAAATGTTTTCGCTGCAGTTACTTGCATCCAGTTCAATCCTGTTGATGACAGGTACTTCATTAGCGGATCTCTAGATAAGAAAATCCGGATATGGAGCGTAGCCGATCGCCGAGTTGTTGATTGGAATGATCTTCATGAAATGGTGACTGCTGCATGTTATACGCCTGATGGAAAGGTTTCAACTTTGACGCCAAAATGTGTTCCGGTCTTTTGAATAGAATATACAATGAATTGGGAACTACTCATTCATTTATCTCTGCACTAGTGGGTTCAATGATATCTTTATATTGTCTTTTCAAGGGTGCTTTGGTAGGATCGCACAAGGGGAGCTGCTACTTGTATGACACAACAGGTTTGGATAACATTGCCAAGCTTTCTGCACTGCTGTTTTGGTGAATGAAATATAGCTCACTCTAGCTCAGTTGCTCTTTTTCTAATTATATTTTTTTTGGATTGAGTATTCCCAAATTTAGGCTAATATGGTTGTACAAGTTCCAAACTTTGGGTAAGAAAGCTATTTGTCCATGCTTATAAGAGCTGGAGATTTAGTAGTTTGGTCAATAATATTAGTACTGTTTTGTTCCATTTCAAGTTTTTGGTGTTTGGTTTGGAGCAAAATAAATGCAAGGTAAAATTTTGAGTGATTTAAAATACTCTAAAATCTCTATTTCTAGATTAATTATTCTGTGTGGACGCTTAACACTGTCCAGAGACCAACCAAAATGCGCCACATCACCCCTGTGCTCGGTACTGCTGACGTGACGCATTCTGGTTGGTCTCTAGATGTCGTTCTGCGTCCGGCCTCCGCACTAAATAATTTCTCCTATTTCTATTGCATTTCAAATCTTGCACAACACTCATTCATGTTGCCTACTCGTTGCCTGCCCTCGCTGCCGAAGCCAGCTTGCATCTCTAGTCCTTGCCACATGCAATCGCCGTCTACGTCCGCTTGTGGTACCCTTGCCATTTCTTGCATCACCCACCCTCACCACTTGCACTCATACTATTTCAATGCATTTGATTTGTATCTAATCGATATTTCAAATGCATACTTTATAATCACTTTGCGTTACTAAAATGCATATATCTTGATCCTTTTTCTGATTTTTTTTTCTTCAAAAATTATATATATATTGAAAGCTCTAATCTTACATATTCTCTTTTTTGTTTTAGCAGATAACAAGTTGCATCAAAAAACTCAAATTGACCTGCAAAACAAGAAAAAGAAGTCGAGCCACAAGAAAATTACTGGTTTTCAGGTAACTTTTAAAATCAATCCATTATTTTATGTTTAATGCAGTATTATCAATCAAGAATTTGTTGCATATATTAACCTTTTTAATTCTACAGTTTGCTCCCGGGAGTAACACTGAAGTTTTTGTTACATCTGCTGATTCACGAATACGCGTTGTTAACGGTGTCCAGCTAGTCCACAAATTGAAAGGTGAAGAAACTATCTGATATGAATTGCTACTTATATTTGTGATTTTGAATATTCCAATTGCTGCATGCATTTGATTCTGTAGTACATTTAGGCTTTGTTTGTGACGGCTTTTTTAATGCTTCTTAAAGTACCTTTGTATTACAAAAATTAAAATATTTATACGAGAAAGCTGCTTTAAGAAGCAGAAAGAAAACCGTCCCAAACGAAGCCTTAGTGGTTCTAATAATTTCACTTTTTAAGAGTTGTAAAGTAATGCAAAAGTCTAAAGCATGAAATAGAGTTTTCTTGCTATTTAGCATCCTAGCATAAAGAAAAGTGACCATTATGGCATTATCCATATTTACAAATCTCATTTTCGTGATGGAATTCTATTTTTAGATTTGATCTGCAAATTTTCTTTCCTGTTTACTACAACTGCACAAGATGAATTCAATCTTTTACTGGTATGGAACTCATTTCCTGTTTTTTAAATCTGATCCACTCTTTTATTCTTGTCTTCTTTGTCATACCAACCCTGACTAGTATTAAGGTGAGACTTATGCTTCATTTGGGACAGATTTTTTACCGCTTCTTAAAGCAGTTTTTTAATACAAAAATTAAAAATTTTGTGCTAGAAAGTTATTTTAAGAAGCAGTAAGGAAGCTGTCCCAAATGAAGCCTTAGACTTCATTCAAGACGGTTTTCTGCTTTTTATTAAAGCAGCTTTTTAGTGTAAAAATTATTATTTTTATATTAAAAAGTTGCTTTAATAATCAATAATAAAGCTGTCTCAAACGAAGCTTTAATTTGAATCTCTTCTGCATCCATTTAAGATTTCAAACATATGAGAGGATGTTATAAACTAAAGTATAAAGACTTCATTTGGGGCAGCGTTTTCACATTTTATTGCTACCGCACTTTTGTTTGATTACAACATTATTGTTATTTTACAAAAATGATTTGTTATGAGAAATAGTTATTTAACTTCTAGATCTGCAATAGTGTGATAACTGCAATTTTTTTAAATGAATAAAAGTAAGTTCATAATATCTATAACAATTTAAAAAAAAATTATTTCACAATTGTCTTGTGGTTGCTTTAACCAAAATGGTTCCAGTTTGTTTGGGATAACTTTTGACTTATTTTTTCACCACTTTCAAAGAAATTTTATATTAAAAAATCGCTTTAAAAAATAATAAGAAAATTATTTCAAATGAATTGGACAATTTTCTCATTGCTTTCTTAAATAGCTTTTTAGTATAAAATTTTTTTAATTAGAAATTTTTGTGCTCAAAAATTGCTTTTAAAAATATAAAAAAATTGTCCCAAAACGAAGCCTTAATTATTATGATTTTTTTTTATTTGTGTATATCAATGTTTTATCGTTGTAGCAGAGTCAATAGATAAAGTTGAATTTAGGCTTTATTTGAGACGACATTCTTACTGCTTCTTAAAACAATATTTTAGTACACTGAAAAGTTGCTTTAAGCAGCAGTAAGAAAGCCCCCAAATGAAGTCTTAGGTTTTTTTGTTTATGATGACTTTCTTGCTGCTTTAAGAAGCAGTAAAAAAGCCGTCCCAAAACGTAGCCTTAATCTACTCTCCTCTCTTCTCCTGGTTCCCTGATTTCAATTCCTCAACCTTGTAAGGCAGGATTTCGCAATACAAGCAGCCAAATCTCAGCTTCCCTAACGGCAAACGGAAACTACGCCGTCTGCGCGAGCGAGGACTCTCATGTTTACGTCTGGAGTCACTGTTTCGATCCCCAACCACGTCCAAAATGCAATGGCAGCAAGAACATCACACAATCCTATGAACATTTCCAGTGCCGCGACGTAACGGCGGCCATTCCTTGGCCAAACACCTGCAATTTGACCCCAGGATCAACTCCTCCCGGCGGAAACCAGAATAGCTACGGCGCCATTGATTCTCCCGGTCAAGCTATCCCTAACTCGAGCGCCGCCAATCTCTTCGGCGATAGAGCTTCGGCTACATGGCCGGAAGAAGAGCTGACGGTTTCCTCCACCTCGAGCAGTCCTCGCAGTGGAACAGATCCGAAAAATGGAGGAATTCATCTACTGAGAAACTCGGCTTGGGGAATGGTTATTGTGACTGCTGGGAGGGGAGGCCAAATCAGAACGTTTCAGAATTTTGGCTTTCCTGTAAAATCATAAGCAAGCTAATCGATTCTGTGCATAGAGAAGATGATTCAGATGCATATATGGTGAGGAATTTGTAATATTCAGATGTTTATTAATTATTATGATTTTTTTTATTAGTGTACGATAAAGCTGGTTAGAATTTTCATTAGCTCTAAATAGTGAGTGGGCTGAAGCAAAATTTAAACAAGAAATTACGTAGAAGACTTCAAATAAAAATTTGTGTTTTTTATTGGGTGTCTTTCAGGCATCATAAAATTTAGAGCTGTATTTCATATTTTTTGTACATTAAACTAGTTTGATGGGAAAATATATGGTAAGTTTTTTTTTTAATTTTATTTATTTATTTATGTTGAGTGTTGGAAAATTTGAATAGATTGAGTGAGTGTTTTATGTCTCGGAGTTGTATTAAAATTTAGCATGAACATATAAAAATAGTAAGAATAAATAAATTTTATAGGAAAAAACTCCAAAAGAGAAAAAATTATGGAGCATGACCCACTTGAAAATTTTTCTATGTAATAAGAAATGCAGGAATCCTCTGTTTCTTCACTGCTGCAAAAGAGAGGGATTAAATAAACGGTTGACTTTTCATGGAGAATTAAAAAAATTAAGCGTTCACAGGGAGACCATCTATACCTATAGATGCATAGCTTAAATTCTCCAATAGAGATTATGGAAGACAGGCGCCCATATGCAGATAGTTATACCCAACAAAATGGTTAAATCTTGTAAGTATTCAGGAAATGGTAAAGAATTTTTATACTGATCATCGATAACGATGGTGATTGTCGGTGGCAATAGTCGGTGGTGATTGTCAACGATAATAGCTGGAAAATGCAAGAAAGTTTTCTCTATTTTTCTCTATTCCTCCCCATCTCATGCGAAGAATGGGGTCTTATTTATAGGTTTTTTATGAGCATTTTGGTAATTTGAACAGTAATCCAAAACACTCTGTTGTATGACTTATGTTGACGCATTTGATCATAAAGTGTTTATTCAACAGTTAAGTGCCTTAATTTTTTTATTTATTATTTTTTATTTTTAGTTAAGTGCCTTAATGATGTCAAAATTTAGTGATCTTAGGCTTGTAGAATTCTTCTTGTCGAGCTCCTCAATTTAGCCATAAGCATGTCTAATTTATAGATCATTTGATCCTCCAACTAATGCCCTGAAACTTTCAAAAATGTTTAAAACCTTGACGTGAGCTCATTTGAGCTCGAATTGGATCAATTTTGGTTCATTGGGTTCATCTTGCCGAGACGTTCAGTTGGACTATAAGTTTGTTGAGATTGAATTTCGGATGGTCCCATATTTAATTTTGAAAGTTTCCAATTCAATGATGTCACAAGATTCTTGTTCGATCAAGATAATTTTTTTTTTTTTTGTAACGTATCAATTTATTTAAATTTAAGTTTATCCATACAAGTATAAATATTTATATATTTGCTGACTAAGATATTGTTTGTTTTTTCTTATTTGGCAAATAGGTTGGAAATTTTTTTATTCAAGGTTGATTTGCTTTATTAAATATGGAACCGAAATGCCTCGATAATATTTTTATTTTCTTACATATCTAAGGAGTTCTAAACTCCATAAAAATAATAATACAAAAACAAACAAACAAAAAAGTTCACAGAACATTAAACCAGTTTTTTTTATATGATTTTACTCGAAGAATAGGCAAATTAGGCTGGCTGAAAACAAGATATAAATTTAACTCTCTACGTTTACCAAAACTCTTCTATTTTCTTTTAAACTTTATTTAGGTTCTTCTGTGACAGCTTTCTTAATGCTTTATAAAATAGTGTTTTGAGATCGGGCATGTGGCCTGACGTTAGATGGAAGACTTTCTTCCCGCTCTCATCCGGACTCGAATCCCCTAATCTGCTCCACACAAAAAAAATCTTGAATTAGAATTTTTTTGTACTAAAAATTGTTTTAGAAAGCAATGAAAAAACTATCACAAACGAACCTTAGTAGTTTTAACTTTTAACTTTTTTATCTTTATATGCAATAATTTATAGCGAAAAATGTTAGCAATTAAAAGAGAAAAATAAAATTAAGTTAGGTGTTGCAAAGATGAGAATGCTCGAGTGAATGAGTGGCTCACTCTTAAAAGGCGGAACGTGAAATGAAATATGATTAGAGAGAGTAGTTTTATATGGTTTGGACACATAAAATGTTGATCTTCTGATGACCCAGTTAGGAGAGTATATTTATTAGATTTGACCTATGTTGTGATTTGTGAAAGGTAGGGATTTGTCCAGATTTGATTAGAAAATATTAGAATAATCTTTTTTATTATACTTAAATGAGGATTTGACTCATAACAAAACATAATGGAGGAAAATGATTCATGTAGGCCACCCTATGTGGTGGAATAAAGGCTTGATGTTGTTGGCGTTGTACAAAATTGTAATTGCATTTATATTAATAAAGTTTATTTTTTACTCTAAACCAAAATATGCAGCTCACCTTGATCTGTTATTTAGACGGTTTGGCTACAAATTAAGAGATTTTGAATTCAAATCTTACTTATGTGGTGTGTGTATGAGTTTACTTTAGTAAACCAAACCGCCGCAAATAAATAAAGGATCACCTTATATCACCTTGTAAACTTCAATATTTTATTCCTTGTACATATATTTGATATGGGGCTAGTAGTGTGAAATATTAAAATTAGATATGTAAATAACATAATATAAAGGATATGTATGTAAATTCCCCTAATAATTAATGTTCACAGTGTAAATAATTATTTGTTTGGTTATTTACTGTTATAAACAGTGGGATTGAAAGGTAAAAGCATTGAATAAGGCATGCCCATTGTATATATCTGCACCCATTTGAGGATGGCATTCAATAACCGCCGGCCATGAAATCGACGCCGCCGTTCCAAAAATCCAGGAAACCAGCAGGAAAAACCAGCGACTCCTCAACGGAAAAACTCGTAGAAAACTTCGATTCATCCATTTCTAACCCTTCTTTTGATCTTCCAAAACTATAATCCGTGGAAGGAAACAACGAAGTGGAGTTCACAGGGAAGCTAAAACCAGAGCTCACTGTCCCGAATTCAAATTCAAACGGTCGGAAATTCCTCGTAAGTAAATTTTCGAACCTATCATTGTTCTCCGTCACTGCCGGGGTAGTGATAGACGGAAAGTGCCCGGCGGCGGCGGAGGTGGAAGCGTTGGTGGTCGTGGTTGTCTTTTGGCGTTTGTTTTTGCGGCTGCCGCTGGCGGGAATGTTGCGGAGGACGCCGCCGGCGGTCCAGTGGCGGTGGCATGTGCGACAGAAGTGGCGCGGTTGAGTGAGGCTGTAGTTGTTATAGTAGCAGAACTTGGTGTTGGCGGAATAGCAGCGAGGGCACTTCAATGGCGGCGCTTTTTGGGTCTTTGATGCCTTCGGAATCTCCAATCCTTCCATCTTTAGAAAAAAAAAACATGTCAAAATCTGATTTTGAGAGGTTTTTGTTTTTTAAAATTTAAATTTTTTTAAGCTCAAAATAAAAATAATAATTTTAAAAATCATCGTGATTAAAATTGTTTGAAGATATAATGCCTCGAAAAATTTTCCTTTCTCGATCAGATTTTGATCTTAGTTTCATTTTGAAATGTTTCTATTTTGTTTGTTTGATTTGAGGGTGTCATCTAGGTTTAGACTTCATTTGGGACGACTTTTTGGTTACTTTTTAAAGGGACTTTTTAATATTTAAAAATTAATTTTTTAATTAAAATGCTTCTTTAAGAAACAATAAAAAAACCGTCATAAACAAAGTCTTAGATTTGCTTTGATAAGTTGATAAAGTAAATTTGAGTTAGCTTTAATTTGACTCAAACAATTATTATCTTGCAATATAATTATATTGTTTAAAAAATATTAACATAAAAATATTAAAATTCAAAATTTTATTTATATAATTATTAAAGAATAGAAGAATTAATATTGTTTATTTATCTAAAATAGTTTATTATTATTTTTATTTTATCACAACAAAATTTTTTATTGGAACCATTTTTGCTATCTAAAATATATGAACTTACTGGGAGCTAGTGCTCAAACTTAATTGATTAGTCGAGTGCATTCTCATATAGCTCAAATTAGACTCGGCTTATTTGCACCTTTAATTTAGCATATTATATTTTATAAAGTTTAATTTTGACTTTTTTAAAACATTCTTCATAAATATATATAGACAAAATTTGATAAATTCGAAAGAATAATTTTTTTAAAAATTTTAGTCAAATTGAATAATTTTAATTGACTTATGTTGATTTCTATAAGAAAAAAAGACCTGTTGTTAGTTCATTTTAAGATAAATTATCATAGACAAAGGTCCTATTTCTAGCTTTAATTTAAGAATTTCCAATTTAGTTTGGTCTGGCAGTTACAACTTCCAACCATTCAATTGTTCAGTGTTTTTTTTTTTTACTTAATGTAGGTGTTGCAAAGATAAGAATGTTTAGGTAGATGAGTGCCTTTCCACTTAGGGGCTGTTTGGTAGTAGGATTTAGGTCGGATTTGAGCGAAATCCAGCCAAACAGCTTAAAATGCAAAACCAAATCTCACTGTAAATGAAAGCCGTTGCAGACGTAAAATTCTGCATTTTCGTGCTAAATCCCAGATTTCTGAAATGCTTTTTTTGCCGGATTTACGAAATCTATTGGCTCGAGAGGAAGAGTTCGCTCGTTAAATCCGCTCTATAGCCAAACAGTCACGCGTTATTTAATATTATTTATCATGAATGTTACCAAAAAATTTTGAGGATTTAGGCCCCTCAGGATTTTCAAAGTCAAATCCTGGGTGCTACCAAATTGCCCCTTAGAGATAGAATACAAAATGAGCATGTACATGAAAAGGCTGAAGTAGCTTCAATAGCATATAAGTTTTGAGAGAGTTAGTTGCCTTAGATGGTATGATCACATAAAATGTTAACATTCCAATGGGCAAATCATTACGTGTGGAGTCCAGACGTCGGCTAGAGTCCATTAAATTAACATGTGTAATGTCAC